TTTAAGTTTTTGCCCTGCCTAGGCAAAATGCTAAATCCAGCGTTGCTCACATTGATAATTTAAGAATTCACGAAGTGATTCATCTTCGAAATTTTACTTGTGCGGTATGTTTACAAGTTTTCCGGAAACAAGTAAATTGAATAGACATGTGAAATCGCACGAAAAGATTTGCAGATATAGTTCATGTCCTAAAAAATTTACTGAATTTGATGATTTGGAACGTCATGAAGCTTCTTATCTTACAAGTTGTACGGCAGTGTTTACAAGTCAAAAGAATTTAAGAAAACATATGAAAACACACAAAGCTGTTTTTAAATGTAGCAGCTGCTCAAAGAGCTTCAATAGCGATGATGTTTTGAAACAACGTGAAGCTTCTCATGTTAGAAATTGCACCCCAGTGTTCACTAGTGATTAAAAGAAAAAGTGATCTTTTATATATATACCATATTTGAGTGGAAAATGGCTTGATGTGAATCCTAGATAAAGGAAGAAATGATAACCAAGGATATGTTCTTTAACTGAGTAGATTTTCTCTAACGCTGAGACTGATCAAGACCTAGATGTATTTCTTGAATACATAAAATCGCAACTTGCACAAAAATTGAGTGAAAATTTGACTACATATCAGCGTTTGAATGGTATGCAGTTGTTATTCTTAAAATGAGTGTGATTTTGGAGAAAATGAATGCATCACTCTCATTTCTGCCCCAACTGTTTCCAATTAATTAAAGAGGATAGATTACAAATAATAATTAAAAAGAATAAATATAGAAGGAGGAATATCCCAAGCTTACGAAAAAGTAAAAACGTGCTATGACGAATTTATTGAACATTACTCAGGATGGGTTCTAGAAAAAGTTATTAAATATGAATTAAATTCTCAGATATGGACACACAACAATTCTCACAACAATTAATTATTCAGCTATAGTGAAAGCAAGAATATAAATGTAAGTGTTACGTGTATTAACTTACTAAAAATAAAATTTAAAAAGTAAAATAAAAACAATATAAAAAAATCTGAAAGGTTTCAGATTTTAAATTCCGTCCAAAGAGGCGTTTTGTGTGTTAGCTTTATTTATTTATTATCATGCTCTTTGCACTTAAACCATAAAATTCAGTTCAACAGCAATGTCGCAAAATGATTTTAAAATGAGCCGATCTTTAGAATTTCCCATACACAGTTCCGTGCGTTAAAAGAGATAAGAAGTTCCCCCCCCCTCCCGTAGAGTGTTGCCATTGCTCGCTTTCAAATCGTTGAGTTTGTTAATCAAAAATTCGTTAAAGTTTTACAAAATATGAAACCAATAATAAAACAAATTCGAAATTCAAAATTAATAAATAATTCCAGATTTCAAATTCCAAATTCGGGTTGCCACCTGGCATGTTCGGGTGGAGGATTATATTATTCAAAATTTAGTGACTCTAGTTACCGTTGTTTTTTCGCAACACAAGAAACACGTATACACTTATGTAGCTTCTTCATTATTTAATTTCTTTAAACATAATATTTGGTGGCAACAATTTGAAAAGTCAACGCTTTTAGTGGACTCAAAATGCCATTTCGAGACTAATAGCCCTTCTGGGCTAACGCACTTTTGAGCTAAAAGGGCAGAAATCTTTGTTAATTTACTTAATGCTTTTCTTTCTATACAAAAAATATGTTAAATTTTTTAAAATTATATAATACTTAATTTTCGCTGTCAGAAAATCTAGCTGCAAACCTAAGAACTCTTGAGTTCAATTTGACGTCCCGGCTGATATGAAGTTAACTGTCTTTGAAATATGCGATTAGTTATTTATAGAAATGATCAGATTAGGTTGATCTAAAACAATTAACGAAGGCAAATTACGCAAAGGTTCAAAAGCTTCGTTCTCTCTTGGACCGAGAACTCTTAAAGGATGATTATATCTGAATGCTCGTGCTTCTTTCTCCCTTACACAATCTTTTAAGAAAACTTTCGGATTAACGGATTTTAATCATTATTCAAAGACCTTTCTTTACCTTTACAATCTTTCATGTCAGGGTTTGAACCTATTCGTTAGCCGTTAACTGATAATCATTCACGGGAAAGGGCTGCTGCTTAAGAAGAGAAATGTCTTTCGTAGAAGACTTTCTGAGGAAAACTGAGTCATATTCAAGTTGGATTCGAATTCGAGCCGCACCAATATTCAGCCATCTTATCCACTTGGTTACTAGTACGACTTAGAACAGGGTTTCTTAAACTTTGTGGGGCGCGGGACCTGCAGCAGGGGGTCGCCAAAAGTTTTCGCGGTTTTGATAATTGTTTAACTTACTATAATAATTTTACAATAACCAAATATTTTTACACAATGTATTCGAAAATAGATAAAGATAAGACAATACAGACAGAGAAAAAAACCTAAAATGTTTCGACGCATTCTTTTTATAATAAAAACGTTCATTTTTCTTGCTTTGCAAGTGACGCTGTCATTTCGTCTGTTACTTATTTAAAATATTCACATTGTTCTATGTCTTAAAATTAGAAATTACAGTTAATGACCCAAAACTGTCATTTTGTCTATTACAGTACAAGTGAAAACACTGATAGTTTCACTCACGCGAGTGTCTGATTTGCGCAATACTTATGGGGTCCCATAAAATTTTTGTAAATATTATGGGATCCTACGGGGTCGCGACCCCCTCTGGCCTCTCCATTCCACCTGTGGCTCTTATGCAAGCAGTTATTTGGCCTGGCATCGATTGATAGAGGTTGCGGATGTTCTCCTGAGGGATATTGTGCCAAATTTTGTCCAACTGGCGAGTTAGATATCACACCGCTCTACGGGGCGTCTTCAGACTCGCCTTCGCTGGTCATCGGGGCTCAGTTCAAAGCGGAACTCATCACTGAAAACTATTCTACTCCAATCAGGGACATTCCAGTGCGAATGGGCCCGACACCACTGCAAACGAGCTTGACGTTGTACAGAGGTCAATGGTAGTCGGCGCAAGGGTCGCCGTGACCTCAGCTCTCTTTCTGTGAGCCGTCTATGAATGGTCCTTGCGGTCACTGAAGCACTAGTTGCACGTACAATCGATGATAATGATGCATCTGGGGCTGTGAGTGCCGCTCTGACGATTGCTCGGTCTTCCACGTTCTGTCGTTTCTCTAGGCCTATCGCTTCCTTCTTGACACTGTGTGCGGCCATCGTTCACCCACTCCTGCCAACATCGTCTAATAGTGGCATCGCTCTTGTTCAAATGTTGAGCTATTCGCCGATAAGACCAACCGTCTTCTTTGCGGCCAACTACACGACCTCTCTCAAATTCTGACATCTGCGCGTATCGTTCGCGCACCTGTATGCCAGGCATAGTTACTGTTTACCAGAGTACACGGAATGAAATTCGTGAAGAATTAATGACCAGGAATCGTAATTTCTCCTCTTAAATATCCTGCCAGTCGCGCAGATCAGATGCGCTGTAGCGACAACCGTTCATTCATTGGTAGCCTAAAATGTAAAATTTTGCTTTTCGTCGAAACCTTGTATGCATATCAATTTGTGGTTTAACTTGCTTTATTATCTTCTCGGTGCGTCGTGGTGTGTCTTTTTTTTTTTTTTTTTTTTTTGTCTAATAGTGTATATAAATTAATTTAATTTAAGACAAATAATAAATAAAAATATTGGAGCTCATTTTATCTGGGACGCTTATTTATATAATGATTTCATTCAAAACGTGGGAGCTGGAGCTCGACTTTCTACGGGAAACTGACTCATATACATGTTAAGGGTCATTCACACTGGGGTTTATCTAAGTTAACAGAGTTAGTTCGATGTGTCGACTATCTCCGCTATATCTTGCAGTTCTGATTTTTCAACTCGCTACACTATGGGGAAAAACTGGTTTTGGAGATGAGTCGATTATATCGGATGTCTACGTTAGCTCAGATAAACCCCAGTGTGAACGGCCCTTTACACATGGGGAAAGCCACGAAAATGCCCTTGCTGCCACCCCGTTCGCGAGATTTGAATCTCGGATCGAACTACCAGTGTTCAGCGACTTTAACCGCTCGGCCCCTGGTGGGCCTCTAATGATTAGTAAATAAGCAATTCGGTGGGCTAAATAACACTATTTAAATTTTATACACTTTTTTCCTAATTCCTTATCCCTTTTTTTTTGTCTCGTTATTAAGATAGGATATTTTGTATTATAAGAAATTCTATTCTCATATTATGAATTTAAGTCCAATTACATAAGCTATAATTACATAAGTTACGCATAGGATAGCCTATACGTAACTCCTGTTTCTAAAGGGGAATCTTTGGTAAAGATAATACTTTCACATAAAAATTATTATGTTATTATGAATTGAAGAGGCATCTTCATTTAAAATTAACAGTACATTTTTCTTTCCTAATGTCGATTTAATATCTGGGAAGTTTCACTATCTTTCAAGTTACGTCGCCAATCCGTTGCTGAACTTGAAATTTTTCTCACCAAATTCAACGCTGTTTTTACCATACACCAAAAAAGAAAGTGTAGCATTAAATTTCACTTATGCCCTTGTATAAGACGTACCACTTATTTTTCCATTCATTCAGCGCAAATATTATATATATATAAATACTTTATAAATACTACTATATCAAATAATATTTCTACAAAAGGAATGTCTGAATAAAATTAATTGCCATTTACATTTTGTGATATAAGCTTAGGCAGGAAATGCAAAAACTTAAATGTAATAAAAAGTAACGAAGTAATTATTTTTGCATTATAAAAGACAGTTATTTTAGGCAATTTATGTGTGCCAGTTTTCTTTGCCGAAGTATAGCTTAGGTTAACTATTTTATTTAGAATATCATATACTTATGAACATTATTTCTTTTTCAGATTTTTCAGTTAATAACTGACAATTCAGCTTTTACCTAGTTTTGAAGTTCTCATTTCATCTTTTCTTATTCATCGCCAAAAGAGCGATAAATGAACAGCAGTTTAATTAGAACAGCTGAATTCTCAACGCACTATTTTCACTTTCAGATGAGTCAGAAGAGATGGCTTTGGTCAGTTTCGCGTGCTTTGCTATAACCAAACAAACCTACATGAGTCAGATGACAGGTTTTTTTTTTGTGCTCGCTTAAATTTGGGTATCCGACTCATTCACTTGCTTTCAGTTTAAAGAAGTGGTAGAAGGTAAGTTAATTTTTCAGCATATTTAAGTTCTTTTCTCAAAAACGTGAAGTTTAAAGCATTTCTAACCTGCGATCTTAATTGGCTACATAACTATTAAAAAAAAAGGAATAATTTTAATACTTGAAATTTAGTCTATGAGCAACTTTTTATCCTTTATATAAAAATACTAAATTCATTAATATATAGAAATATATTTGTATTTTCATCTATAATCATACAACAATGAGGATTTTTATTCATACGCAGACCACTTCATAGATGGCAGCACGTGTTTAGTAGCTGAAATATTTTTTATTGAAAATTCAGATCTCGATGTAATTAACCTGCAACAAATCTTTCTTTTATTGCGGCTACCAGCATACCAGTATACATGGCTTTCATAAATATTAAAATTATCTTTTAATTTTTTGATAAATCAAATAAACTGGAGAAATATGAAACCAGAATATTGATTTTTTTTATCTCGTAATTCAGGTACATAATAGGATTAAGTCATAAAAGTGTAGTAAAACTACTGTAAACAAATAAATAATATTATCGAGAAAGATTTAGGATTTGTATTAATTTTAGAGCTAACGAGACATGTCAGGATGGCCGAGCGGTCTAAGGCGCCAGACTCAAGGTTACCTTGCTCTGTATCAGAGTATGAGTGTTCTGGTCCACGTATGTGGGCGTGGGTTCGAATCCCACTTCTGACAGTGACTTTATTTTCTTGCGCTGATGAATTAATTGAAGCTATGTCGTGAAGTAATTTTGTTAAAAAAAACATTCTATTGAATATTGCATTCCATGTAATTCAAAATTATATTCACGGATATTTCTGAATGTATAATTATTTTAATTAAACTGTTTTAATTCGTGTAATAAATACTTTCATCGAAATAATAATGATGATAATATTCTTACTGTACTTTTTTCCTTCATGCATTTTTTCCCTCTACTCATTGTTTGGGTTTGAATAACTTTCTTTTATTATTCTTTTTATATTAAAATCAACTTAATTAATGATTATTTTACAATGGTAACTAAAATTATCATTTAATAATTCTGATATTATGATTAGTAACTTATTAATTAGTAGTTAATTTATGAATTAATTTTAATGAATGTTTTTGATAGTTTTATGAATTAATTTAATAGTCAAATTTTTTTAAATCATTAATCAAAAATCTCTTGTATACAATAAAACGTTATTTCTTTTGAATTATAAATTATCTATATATTTGGAAAAATAAATAAATAAATCAATACAAAAAAAAAAAAAAAACCTGCAAGTTTTTAGATTTTACATTATGCCCAAAGGAGGGTTTTTTTTTTTAACGTGTTATGTGTTACCTTTATTTACCCAATGCCATGTTCTTCGCACTTAAACCATAAAATTCAATTCAACAGCAATGTCACAAAATATTTAAAAAGAGCACATTTTTAGAATTTCCGATACACAGTCTCGCGCGCTGGAGATAATTACCCTCCCCGTTCAGTATTGGCTTTGCTGGCTTTGTAATCGTTGAGTTTGTTATTCAAAAATTCGTTAAAGTTTTCCAAAATAGGAAATAGATAATAAAAGAAATTCCAAATTTGGGCTTCCAGACACCCATATTCGAGTGGAAGACTATGCTATTCAAAATTTGATGTCCCTAGGTACAGTTGTTTTTTCACAGTGCGATACACATACATAGATTCATGAAAAATTTTCATTATTTAATTTCTTTAAATATAATGCAGGGCTCTAATATTTGGTGGCAGCAATTTGAAAAGTGAAATTCCGTTTTATGGTGGACGACGCAAAATGCCAAAACGAAATTAATAGTTCTTCTAGGCAAATTACCCCTTTGGGCTTATAAATATAAATTTCATATTGACCAAAATGCTGAAAGTAGTTTTCTTCCTAACCACAGTTCTATATTACGTTAATCCTTTGTTTTCTATCTTTTAGTATTTAAAGGACATATTGTAATTTCTTTGCAAATAATGTAAGTACAGTGAAATATCAGTTCACGAATTTAATTCGTTCCTGAAGGCGGTTCGTCGTCCAAAAAGTTCGTAAACTGTAAATTTTCCGCATAGGAGTAAAACAGGCTACTCCATTCTTGGATCATAGATGATTAGTTACTTCAACGTTTATATCAGTATACTTTGTGCAGGAGTCCGTAACCAATGGAAATAATTAAATCTCAGATAAATAAATGCAATTAAAAAAGGCTTTTATACAATAAAGTTTTATTTAAAATTGATAGGATCATTAGAAAAATAATTTAATGGGAATAATGGTTTAAATAATTTTATTTACAGAATTCATCTACAATTTTATAAAGCGAATAATAAAATCGTTTGGTGCCTAAGCAACGAAGTCTATTAATTTAATTGCATTGTCAAATGAATAAACCACTACCTTTCTATATTTATCACAGGCGTTTTTTTATATTAATTAGCATTTATTATGAAATGGAAAAACTGGCATTAGTAATTTCTAAGAAATGGTAAAACTTCGACAAGATATTCTTTGTTAGAGGACCATAGATCCGATTTGATAGACTTCAAAATTGATAATAGTCTTTCCACGTTGACTTGAGTGTAGGAAGAAGAGCTGTTACTGATACGGCTACTTTAACTGAAACTTCGACAAGATCTTGTTTGTTAGAGTACCATAGATCCGATTTGATAAACTTCAAAATTGAGAATAGTCTTTCCACACTGACTTGAGTAGGAAGAAGAGCTGTTACTGGTACGGCTGTTTTAACTTTTCAGGATAGATTTTTGTAAGTTCTAAAAGAGGTGTTTTGCAAGAGCAATCATATTTCTCTATTTCGTCAAAGGAAGGTGTAGAAATTTTGTTTGTATTTTTTCATTTTTATATCTAAATGGTCTTGGTTTCTTTACTTTCATTTCGCTTTGCTCTTCGTCTTTTCAATATTATCCCAAATATTTCTCAAAATCTAATTTATCATTGGAAGAGAATCATAGAGATTTGGTTGCAATGTCTTGCAGTTTGACTGTCCTGATTTGAAGACTCTAGTTGCTCTGAGAATAATTTCATCCTCAATGAAAGTTCATAGATGATTTTCTTTGCCTTTTTAATTTGTTCATCATCCAACAAAATGCGGTGTTTTGGATCTACAAGTATTGAACCCAGCAAGATCTCATTGTCTATTCAAACTAGTTTCTCTCTTCTTCACTGAACAAATGATTTCCTTCTGCAATAAACCCGCAGTTAAAGAAAGTACAAACATCACATTCTTCTATTCTCGCCTCCTGTTAATTCTTCAGATTGTAGCTTTTTTGTGGCTATATACGGTATAGAAAGAAGAGTTTCCAATTCGGCAAGATCATTCCACAGTCTTTCTGTTAGTGAAATATTAGGATTATTTACATCTTCTGAAAAAGTTCTTAATTCTAACAACCACTTATATCATCAAATATGTACTTTTCGATTGCGTTACTTCTTTTCCTGCTCGCTTCCTAAGAATGTCATCCATTTTGGGAGTTCTTGTTGCTTGCCTCAATTCACCAATGAGATCAGTAACTAAATGAATCAGTTTAATCAATAATGGCAGATATCACGTCGATACCGTTCCCTTTATATTTATTTACTAATATGTCAAAAAAAAAATAGAAAATAACTATTTATTAATGTATATATATATAGTCCATAAATAAAAGTATTAGCTCAGTTTGTTATTAATTTTTTTTTTCAATTCACTTTAATTTCATTTCAAATTCAAACTGTTCAAAAAACTGGAGTCGGAGTCGATGTGTTTTTTAGCGACTCCAACTCCGACTCCTTTCACACCAAAATCCACCCGACTCCGACTCCACACCCCTGGTGGTCACTGACACTAACCACCAGATGTGGTCATTTTTTTCACGCGTCTTGGATAAAATATGTGTAATTGTCGCAAATAATTTCACTGTAAAGCCTGATACGGTAAATAAAACAAGAGTTTTGCTGACAAAGTTAATTGCCTTTTCCTGCACCTCAAAGAGTTAAGCAACATTCGACTTCGTTTGGGACAGACTGGGCGTCAGTTTCGTTCAAAATGTAACGTTAACAAAATGATTCGTTTTAAAATGTTTCTGAGATAAGACATGGCGATGTCACGGAAAATGTTTATGCGGCGGCTTGCCATTGCTTTATCAGGGTTATTTCGTTACATGAAAACTCTGCATCTTGTTCTCTTTTGCCAAAACTGACAGATCAAGGAACGAGAATCAACTTTTCTTTTTCTAGCGACTTTTCTTTTACAATAGCCTTTTTATTGCTGCTTCTGAGGTTGATAAACTTTCTGGTTAAGCCTGTCTTTATTGTTGTCTAGTAACTGGCATTATACAGGGTGATTATAATTAAAGTTTAAGTTTCAAAACGCTATAAAAAAAGAACCACTCATGAAAATGACGTCAAATTTGAAAGGAATGTTATTGAAGAAGGCGGAAAGCGTATGGCAGAAGAAAAAATTTAGTTTCAAAAGTTAGCAACAGATGGCGCTGCAAGCGGAAGAAGACGTAAATTAAAATGTTAGTTAAATTTCAGTGTTATAAAGCCGCCAGGTACCAGGCTGTTCCTCATTTCGCGTCTCAGACGTTCGCCATGGGTGTTTCACTGCAGGATAGCGCTCTGCTGGTAAAGCTGTATTACAAGAATGATGATTGTGCAAGAGTAGCTCTGCAAAAATTCAGGACACTGAAGGGTATAAAAGAAGGCGTTGGTCCAATGAGTGTCGTAGGTCTAAAGAAAATGATGCAAAAATTCGAAAAGACAGGTACGAAACATCCTGCAATGCTATCCGTACAAAATTGGTCATGTGCAGGAGTTGCTTCCGTCTGACCTGACAGCTAGGGAGACGTTTGCGTTAGAATTTTCCACGGCCATTCATTATCCATTTCCATATGGAACCATATGGACCATGAAGCCCATTTCCATCTGACAGGATACGTGAATACCCAGAATTGTCGAATATGGGCAACAGAAAATCCACTGGCAACGCACCCCGTACCACTTCATCCTGAAAAGGTCACGGTATGGTGTGGCTTTACGGCATCATTCATCCTACAACCATATTTTTTCGAGCAGACGGGTGCTTCCGGTCCTGTTACCGCAACCGTCACTGGTCAGAGGTATGCGTCTCTTTTGCGCAACCACGTGATTCCAGCTCTGCAACAGCGTGGATGTGTGGATGAAATCATTTTTATGCAAGATGGCGCTCCTCCGCACATTGCACATCCCGTGAAGCAGCTGCTGAGGCGCCATTTCGGAAATGCTCGAATTATCAGCCGTCATTTCCCTACAGCCTGGCCGTCCCGATCGCCTGATCTTACTCCGTGTGATTTCTGGCTGTGGGGATATCTGAAGGATGTTGTGTTCCATGCTCCAATTGCAAATTTAGCGGAATTAAAGGCACGCATTTCGCAAACACATTCTGAACATCACCCCGGAGACACTGCGATCCGTTGTGGAACATGCTGTTTGTCGCTTTCAACTTGTTGCACACAACGGTGGACACCATATTGAACATGTTTTGCGACAGTTCCGAACTTCTTTGATGAATGGTTCTTATGCGGTATGTCGCCGCAAAACTCTTGAAAACCGATTTGTCCCTTCGATGTGATATGTACAGTCATGCAAATAAAATTATTCAACAATTCTAATTTGTCAATGCGTTTTAATGTGTAACTTCCACCTTAGCCGTTGTTTTACGAAACATTTCTCGTTTCTCGTCGTGATTCTGTCGCTTACAGCGCCATCTGTTGCTAACTTTCGAAACTAAATTTTTTCTTCTGCCATACTCGTTCCGCCTTCTTCAATAACATTCCTTTCAAATTTCACATCATTTTCATCAGTGGTTCTTTTTTTATAGCGTTTTGAAACTTAAACTTTAATTATAATCACCCTGTATATTATCTAGGCTGAAAGCCACTGGAATTATTGCTCCATATTCAACAAATATACAGAAAACATAATATTTTTGCAAATATCAACGGAAAATTTGCAGAAAAGAATTAACATAAAATAAATGATTAAATGAATAAATCTCAGATTCCAAAAATTTTATTTAATTTTTTTACAGAATATCTGAAATTTCAGTTTTATTTCTGTCTAATTTCATTATTTACGGTGCAGTTTTTATTTATTGTGATTATTCTTTTGAATAATTGAGTGCTTTTCAAGATACTTTGCGTCATTACGCATTTCTATTGATCATGAATTTGTTATGAAAATATTTTGAGATTACTGTTATGTTGTAGGAACTGCAATACGTTTCAAAGATAGAATTTCACTTAAATGTTACATTAGTCAAATTGCTTTTCTATGTAGAAGAATTGTACCATTCAACAAAGAGTGCTTATCTCAATTTTCTGATAGTGAGACACAGCATCAGTGGAAATGAAATACTCATGAGAAATTATCGGAATACCTAACCTACAATATTGGTGGAACTGAGAACGAGGACGATGAATAAGATAAGGAATATTCATTTTCATAAAGGGTCTACATCAGAATATTTTAGAGGACAATTTGGTAAGCTTAATATAAATGAATGTCAATATTTATGGAATATATTTTTAACTATAACTTATATATTGTAATGTATTATGAAATTATTAACTCGTCGTTCTGAGAATTTATATGTATTAAACTCGCCGTAAAATCCCGTAAAATCTGTCCATAAAATCTTCGAAATAAGAAATGAAAATTAATTACTGTGCGTAACCATTTTCTTACCTCAAGTCAACATAAATTCGAACAAAAAGCACACCTTTGATTTCAAGTGCTGTAAGAGAAGAAATCCATTTTTTTAAAGGAATTCATAGCTATAATATTCAGTTACAGTAATGAAGAATTATTAGCCTAAATAGGCCTTAGACCCAAAGGGTAATTAGTCTCAAAGCGGCATTTTGCGTCGTTCCACTTTCTGCGTTGATTCACTTTTCAAACTGTTGCCAGCAAATATTACCGCCATGTGTTATACTTAAAGAAACTAAGTAATGAAGCATCTTCATGCATATTTCTCACATTGCAAAAAAACAACGGTACCTAGAGCCATCAAATTTTGAATAACGTAGTCTTCCAAACGAACATGGGCACTTGGAAGCCCGAATTTTGAATTTCGAATTTGCTTTATTATCTATTTCAAATTTTGTAAAACTTTAACGAATTTTTAATTAGCAAACTCAACGATTTCAAATTGAGTAATGGCAACACTGTACGAAAAAAAAAACATTTTTATCTCCAACTGTGTATCGGGATATGCTGTTTTGTTGTTTTGAAATATTGTTGCGTACGGGTTTGTAATAGATTGAATACACAAATGCGATAAAAGGTTAATAAAATTAATTTCTATCAAACGAAATATAACAAAATGCTGGAATTTTTTCTCAAAGGTATTCGTACAATATCACAATATCCCGCAATATACGCAATATCACAATATCACGCAAAATTTAAAGTAGCTATACTTTAAATTACTGAAACGTTAAATAGCACGCAATCCAAAGCGCAGAGAAAACTAATCCGATCAACAAAATTACAGCAGCTAAGTAAGCAACTGAGCTGAGATGTTTCTCTCCGGCTTTTTAAAGTTTGGTAATCGGTCCGGAGAGAGTTCTAATAATTTCTTTGCTTCTCGAGATTTCTGGAAAGCAAAAGAGTAGAATTACGGTTACAGCTAACACAGTAGTCAATTACATTTATTCAATTTAAATATAAATTACGAGATATCTATTTATTAAATGTTAAATGCACGTGCTCTTGTATTTTTACTTTTTTTTAGCGTAGCGTTCTCTTAAAATATGTCTCATGCTGCAATGCACGGGGAAATACGTCAGTTTTAATTATAATTCTACTAACATTAGCTATCTAAATACAAAATTTGTAACAATATTTTGTGATATTGCTGTTGAATTGAATTTTATATTGTTTAAGTGCGAAGAACATGATATTTAATAAATAAAGGTAACACCGAAAACATTAAAAAAAAAAAAAAAAAAAAAAAAAAACCGCTCTTTTGGGCGTAATCTACAATCTGGAAGCTTTAAGATTTTCTTTTTTTTTTCTAGCTATTTTTGATTAGGAACTGAAGATTTAGATATCATCAGTTGTAAAGGTTTTTAAGAACTGATTTCATTTTCTTGACCTAAAATAACAAAAACAAGGTAACAAGACTTGTTAATACTGTTTATGTGTTTCACGTTTCACTATTAGAACATTTTAGTAATACGTTTTGAATCCTTGTATTTTAAACATTCAGTTTATATAATAAAGTTTAGGTTAAATTAAAGGTTTAAAATAAAATTCAGAATGTCATTCAACAGCTCGAAAAATTTACGATTAAATTTTAAAAAAAGTTAAATAAGATTAAAAAAAATTAACAGTCGTAAGATTAAAAGAAACTGCATTCTGATATTATATGCTGATTTCATTTTAATATCTGAAATAATTTAAGCAGTTACAATATGCCTGATACTTTAATAATCAATTTTCATCAGAAATTAAAGATATAAAACAAAATATAAAATTTTAGATTTAAAATGAGTCGTTCAAAAGGGCAAAATCAAATAGTCAAGAAAAATTTGCTGGGATATTATTTCATTACCATTTAAAACCACATGTACACTTATCAAAGAAAAGAATCTTTCAAGACATAGCTTAGGATTTATTGTATTGGATCGCTTGCCCACGAGACTTATAGCAAATGCTTTCTTCAAATGATAGTATACGGTGGAACCTTTATTTACTGCGACTTTACCAACCTAGATCTCTGTTAACCGTCTCTGTCTGTAACCACCCCTGTCAGTTAATTTAAAGAAACCGTAATTAAAATATAGTAACATTAAAAAAGGTGCAAAGAAAATTAGTAACATTCACCAATTCTCTTATCAGTGTTTGGTTTTTTTTTTTTTTTTTTTTTTTTTTTTTGGTAAGGAAGTATTATAATCGCGAAAAATTTCAGGCATCATATTTCAACGCAAATATCCATTTCCACCGCTATCGAATGGAATTTAACGAAGTTTTTGCGTGACATCTGTACCTAAGGGACAGAATAAAGGACTCTTTTCCCATCAAAATATTGTAAAACTAATTTAAAATGAATTCTGAAGAGAATTTTTCTTGGCGTCTGTACGTACGTACGTATGTATCTTGCATAACTCAAAAACGAGTACCTCAGAACGTTGAAATTTTGTATATAGGACTGCTATAACATGTAGATGTGCACCTCGTATTTTGGTTGCAATCGGTTGCACTAAAAGTATATAAATATATACTATATATATCCACTTTGTTACTCGGCTCAGTGATCTCAGTTTCTTTATTCTTATACGCTTGTAAATTGTGCATTTTTTGCTTTCAAAATTATTTAATTATGCTGTTCTTATCTTCAGGTTAAGGCTTTTACGCCTTTAGTAAATCTGTATGCAGTATTTTTAGAATTATTAACAATTTAAAAGTTGTTTAAGTGACGCTAAGCGTAATAAGTTTTGCCATAGTGGCCATTGCTTGTTTAGATTTGAAACAGCAGAATAGTAGATTTGTTGCCAATATACAGAAAGTAAGCTTCGCTATAGCAAAGATAACGCCTTCTTTTATTATTGCGAATTAAATCATGTTTAATCATTTCTAAAATTTATTCGAGGAAATAAGTATTTAAGATTTACTTCATAATTTTCAATACAGACATCTTGAGTTTTTATGTATTTTTGCCTTGTCGCGAAGCGAGAACTGAATTAATTGAATGAGAAATACTGAATCATCTGTGAAAAACTGGTTTTTTTTGGTTGTTATTCTTTGCTTAATTTCTTGTATACATCGTTATAGATTTATTATAGTATTTGAATAGAACATGTGGCAACAATTAGATCATTCTTAAGATGATATAAATTTATATGCATTCTGAGTTATAATATGGACGAAATGTAACGCTGTTAAGTGAACCTAGTGCCAGAATGTCGCCGTGGGAAACAAATATACGGAACATTAAAGAGTGCATTTATTCTATTGTAGTTTATGCGCTATCGTCGAAGTAGATTTAATTCAATCCAATAAGTTTAAATGAAATGCAAAAAATGGGTATAATTTAATATTCCGTACAAGGAAGTCATGTGGTGCACACATCAGATTTTTTTGTTAGTGATGAGTCATTTAATGGCCTCTCTATTGCGCATCGAGGGGAAAGATGTTTAAATTTGTTGTAACAAGATGATAGCATAATAGATATAAACTTGATAATGGATTCTTAGGCATGTTTCAAAGGACCATGGTTGCAAAGACATGGCTTAAGATAACAACGTTTAAGTATAAATAAATGTAGAAAACAGAAAAAGTTTTGAAGATTTTGAAGAAAAAATCATTCGCGTCGTAGTTGCAAAGGAATTTACATTACTCCCAGAGGGGCTTTTTATTTAACATTTTGTGTGTTACCTTTGTTTTATTAAATATCATGTTCTTCGCACTTAAGCCATAAAATTCAGTTCAATACCAATATCCCAAAATAATTTTAAAATGATCATATCTTTAGAATTTCCGATACACAGTGTTGCGCCCTGGAGATAATTTTTTCCCCCGTTCAGTGTCGCCACTACTCGCTTTAAAATCGTTGAGTTTCTTAATCAAATATTCATTAAAGTTTTACAAAATATGAAATAGATAATAAAAAGAATTCCAAATTTTGGGCATCCAGATGCCCATATTCGAGTAGAGACTACGTTATTCAAAATTTGATGTCTCTTCGTCCCGTTGCCTTATCAAAGCGCGAGAAACCGACATACATTTATGCAGATTCTGGGTTATTTTATTTCTTTAAATGTAATGCAGGGCTCTAATATTTGGTGGCAAGAATTTGAAAAGTGAAGCGCCATTTATAGTGAACTAACGCAAAGTGCCAAGACGAAATTAATAGCCCTTCTGGGTAAATTGTCCCTTTGGGCTAACAGTGTTTCATAAATATGCATATAAGCAATTAAAAAAAATTCGCAATTTCCGTGAATCTTGACGGAGTTTATTTATTCAAATTTTGCCCCTAATATTATTGTCAAAAAACAAAAGCTTACGTGGATTATTTGTTTAATTGAAATAAACAAATATTAATTAGTAATGAAACTGTTTGTTAAAATTTAACAGTTTCCCACTTATTTTACTAACATTTCAATAAAACAGTTGTAGAAAAATATTTGTCAGCAGTTTTTCTTCAGTTTAAACATCAGCAGTTTTCGGTTAACGAGATTTAGTCATGTTAACGAGTTTCCGTTTATCCAAAGTGGTGATGGTAGTAATTACATTGGATAATCGAGACTCTTTTGTATTTTCTGTTTTAACAAGACGCGAAATCTGTGAACTGAAAATAATCAACACTTCCAAGAAATTTTCTTCCATGTGTTTTAAAAATAGTTCCGTTTCAGTGAAATTTTAAGCAGATGCGATGCAAACATCTACCATATTGCCTTGACACATTGAGAAAGTAACAGATAGAAGGTTGTTACAAAAGAAAGAACTTAAAGAGTCTTTGAAAATGATCTATATTTATG